AAAAAAAAAAAAAAAAAAAACCACAATAAAAACAATTATACATCTGGTCCGTAGAAAAGAGTTTGGGCTTACTGTCAGAATTAATTCCAGCAATTACGACGCCCTAAGCAAATATTGTTGTTTGGCGCCCCCTGCCTCTAGGAAAAGCAACATTTTTTTGTATTTGTAAAAGTTCTTATAAGGAAAGAGCCCCAACCGGTGCTGCGGATTATTATTCCTTTTCATTTTTTGTTTTTCTAAAGGACAACCAGCACCGCTCCCCGCTCTACCCCTCCCACTCCAGCAGATGGTGCATTGCCAAGAGTTGGCTGCTCCGCCTGCCTCTACAACATCCTCAGGCCTTTGATACTAACAATGTCTATACATATCTTTGTTCCTAATTAAACTCTAGCAAGTCTGACACCGTCACACACCGTCTGCCCACCCACAACGCCACCTTTTTACGACCTCAGCCTCAGACTCACCCTGAGAAGTGAGACATACGTCTTCATTAATGCACCTTCACCACATAGCTAGACATCACAGGAACGAGGAAATGTCATTTTTGACAAAGGTGTTGCTGTGAGCGCTGCAGCATCCAGTGAAAACAGAAATAAATATAGAGAAAGATGTTGAAACCTGGGATTTGTCTCCTCCGAGGACATTGACCATGACCTCCATGACAGTCTCGTGCATGCCCAGTATTCTCATTAGATTGGGGTGTTGGTAGAAGACCTTGTTGTTCATGATGTCACTGCCGAGATAAAGAAAGAGACATGAATGCTAAATGAGCAAACGGGGCAAAATTAAACGTCTAGAAACGAAGTCCAGCTCAGGAACCCACCCGAGTCCGTCGATCATTAGCTTCTCCTCTTCTTTTCCCATGCGGACGGACAACAGTGATCGGATCTGACCCAGGGAGGCCAGGAGGTTGATGGTGTCCTGCACTGAAGCAGCACTGATGGTGTAGGCCTTCCTCATGGCACGAAGCAGTTCCCCGATGCTGTCGTACTGTCTTCTCAGCAGGCTGAACATCTTACGGACGAGCTCCGAGTCCTGGACGTGGCACTCCTGGGCCCAGCTGACCATGGTCTGGGAGATCAGTTCCTTCAGATTGGCTGGAGGCACAGATACATTCATGACAGTGGTACTATTTAAAAATCATATCCAGGATCAAACTTGGACTAAGACGTAGATACAGCAGTGATCAAATCAATCATCACTTTATTCAATACACTTGAACATATCAGCGTAGTGTTCAACTAAACAGGCCCGGGTTCACAATGAATCAGTATTTGTTTGTGTCTCTTTTTTTTTAGGTGGTCCACTGCAGGATTGCGGGGAAAAAAAGTTGAGAAACACTCCCTGAGGATACGTAGGTACAACGTGGCCATGGGATAGAACTGAACAACTGGTCCTTATGGTACACACTGTGTGGTTAATATCTGGACCTGTTAACTGGGTCTCAAATGGAAGCAGTAAATGGAAGAAAGCTACATGTGTTAGATAGATAGATGGATGGATGGATGGATGGATGGATGGATGGATGGATGGATAGATGGATGGATGGATTGATTGTTTGATGGATAGATGGATGGATGAATGGATGGATGGATAGATGGATGGATTAATTGTTTGATGGATGGATGGATGGATGAATGGATGGATGGATAGATGGATGGATGGATTGACTGTTTGATGGATGGATGGATAGATGGATGGATGGAGAGATGGATAGATGGATAGATAGATTAATGGATTGATGGATGGATGATGGATGGGTAGATGGGTGGATTGATTGTTTGATGGATAGATGGATAGATAGATTAATGGATTGATGGATGAATGGATGGATGGATAGATAGAGGGATGGATGGATTGATGGGTGGATTGGTTGTTTGATGGATAGATGGGTGGATTGATTGTTTGATGGATAGATGGATGGATTGATTGTTTGATGGATAGATGGATGGATTGATGGATGAATGGATGGATAGATGGAGGGATTAATTGTTTGATGGATGGATTGATTGATGGATAGATGGGTGGATTGATTGTTTGATGGATAGATGGGTGGATGGAGAGATGGATAGATAGATGGATAGATAGATAGGTGGATGGATGGATAGGTGGATGGGTGGATGGATGGGTGGATGGATGGGTGGATGGATGGGTGGATGGATGGATAGGTGGATGGATGGATGGGTGGATGGATGGGTGGATGGATGGGTGGATGGATGGGTGGATGGATGGGTGGATGGATGGATGGCTGGGGGGTGGATGGATGGATAGATGGGTGGATTGATTGTTTGATGGATAGATGGGTGGATGGAGAGATGGATGGATGGATATAGATAGATCTGTTTGTTTGTCTTCCCTCTCCTCTGTCCATTTGTGCCTTTGGATCAGCACCAAACCTTATTTTCTTCTCTATAATCTCCCAGTCTGGCCGTCAATTCTCCAGAGCCTTTTTTTTTTATTATTATTTATTTATCCCCGTCCCTATTACCATAATGAAATTGAAAAAAAAAAAGTGGAAATGAAAATGACTGCCACCCTGTGAGTCAGTCCATCTGAAGTCGGCACACAGATTGGGACATAATTGAGGCGGGGGGGGGGGGGGGGGGCTGCCTTTAATCTTACTGCGCACTTTCCGGGAGAAAATGAGGCAGAGAGTTCATACGGAGAAAACAAGTGAAGAATCTACTGCAGTGTGTTTAACTCCACAGAAATAAATGTAGTGAAAAGGTTTAATAAATGTTGTTCAGTGAAGAAGATTAACAACACACTAGATGATGCATCACAGAGTTTTGTTTTGTTTTGTTGTTATGGTGACTAGTTACACTCAGAATTCTGTAGGAAAACAGACTCCATGACGAAGTAGGAAAAATAATTAGTTGAAATTTGGCCAATTTCTATTTCTTCGCAGTTTTTATTGATTGTTTTTTAGCTACACTTTCAACTGGCCTTTAGTCCAGATCACTTTTTTTTTTAGTCTGATTTGTGACCTTTTTGTGTCATTTAGATTCTTTTTAATAGATTTTTATCTTTTCATTTATTTGAAACCTTTTCTGATTTTGTCATTATTCCACTGTGCCTTTAAGAAAATTGATATATTTTATTTGTTTGGCAATAAAAATAGAAATAAACTAAGAAATGTTTCGCTTATTTTGACAAATTTACAGCTAGAACCTCATTACTTTAAGCCAGTGTTTCCCATATTTTAAAAGTCACAAACCTTCGCGACCCAAATCGATGGACATTTTTCGTAAACTCCTGGGACAGACTCCATGACGCAGTTTTTATTGATTGTTTTTTAGCTACAGTTTCAACTGGCCTTTAGTCCAGATCACTTTTTTTTTAGTCTGATTTGTGACCTTTTTGTGTCATTTAGATTCTTTTTAAATGATTTTTACCTTTTTATTTAACTGAAACCTTTTCTGATTTTGTCATTTTATATTAAAATACGTAACAGTTATTGATATTTTGCTGTAGGTTTAACACCTGCCATAACGCATTCCAAAAAACACTGGAGTTTAATGAGGGTGAACCTTGACCTCTAACCTCTAGCACACCTGTCTCAGAAGCAAAGAGCAGAAAGTCCTGGGTTTGATTCCCAGAGGAACAGAGGGCAGTCTGATAACAGCATATCTGCTGCTAACGCAAGAATTTCCCAAATATGGTTCAAATAATTATTATTATTTGTTTCAGGTCCAAGTTCGACCCATGACCTTCCCAGTGATATATTCTTTAGTTTTAATTGACTACAGAGTTCATTAATAATTCAACCATTTTTAAATGAGTAATTTGTGTTTGAAATATTTAAAAACATTCTCTTGCCAACTTTAAGGGCGACACTGGCCAACTCTTAGCCTTTTTTTTTATAATGTTGCGTCTGGACTCTGTATGCTGGAGTCTCTCTGGCTCACAGGGAGATATATAGGTACCTTCTGTTATCCAGAAAGACATAATGAATCATATAACACGGGCTGCTGTAAAGAGGCCGTGTTCCAACAAGGCAGTTTCCATAAAGAAGACCTGATCCCACTGTAAATCAGGTCTCACTCTCTGATAATGAAAACAACAATTCAGACTCAGGCCGCTGGACGCTCGGGAAAATCTCCAGTAAATAATTTTCTTTCTGCCGACAGAAATGATGCATTACATCACGCCCTCGCGTCTGCCATGTTGGTCCCGGGATTGTTTATACCTTGGTTTGATTAATGGGAAAATTAAACCATTGTAACCCAATGTGTTGGACCAAAATGGACGAGTTTCTTACAGGGTGCAGCCTGCTCCTGCTCCATGGGCTCCTTCGCCTTGTGAGACTGACACTTGATCCTGTTAACCAGCATAAGGAGGCGCCCTCTGATGGATGTATCTTGCTCATCTTCGTCTTCCTCCATTGGGATTCCTAGGTCGCGCAAGAGACACGTACATGTACAGGCAGCAAAACGAGGTAAAAAGTTGAGTTCATGCCTCAAGTTTAGTTACACTAAATTATTATATCGTAGATACCGTATCAATATTCTACAACAGGGCTCCCCAACTCCCGGTTCGGGGACCGATGCTGGTCCATAGGTCATCTGGTAACGGGCCGCAGTGGGCCACTGACCACTAGTTGATTGTACAGGGACTGCATATATTTGCAAGCACTTGAGACTTTGCATCAAACAATCTTATTTTTTTCATTTGTTTATGCAAAAATCCTGCAATATATTTATCGAGTACAAATGTATATTCCTCTGTCCCAGTTGTAGTAACCTGATGTTAAGACAATTAAACGGTTTAAAAAAGTCAATATGTCGCCGTGCCTGTAGTATCGCAGTACATTGTAATAAATTGTATTTTTGCCCCCGTATCGTGATATGTATCGTATTGGCAGATTCTCGCCAATACACACCGCTAATCGCTAAAACAAAGCCAGACCAGTACTGGTTCTAGCTTAGCGTATGCTAGCATCTGCTGCTACTGCAACAGAAGTAAAAATGATATATTTTTCAGAATGAATGTGTTGAAGTAGAATTCATGATATATATATCACAGATTTAACGGCGCGACTCCAGGAGGTTTTGAGGACAGGCGTCTCACCACAGTGAAGCTGGAGCTGGTTGTGAAAATCGTAAAGTTCCTCCTGGATTTTGGACGGACACGGACAGTCCTCACCCGTACTGAAGGTCAGGAGCATGTTAATCTGGAGGTGGGACGCATAAATCAGAGTCATCATAAATCATAGGAAAACTCACAGAAACTCACAGAAGATAATTTGAACAGTAGAATATCAGTACGATCGTGACTTTTTAGTTTTAACCCAGAAATGGATTGGATTTAAAGGAAAAACTATTTCGTTTTTTTTTTCTCCCTTTGCTCTCGTGGAGGGAAGGACATCACGAGTCATTACGTTGGCAGTGAAGCCCGGAGTCTTATACCCAGGTGTGACCCTACAGGGATACGGTTATATATATATATATATATATGTGTGTGTGTGTGTGTGCGGTCAGTCGATGCAAAAATGGCACCACAGACTAAAATGATGAATTTGCCTCGAAGCTTTGCTCAAGAAACACACACTTGAACACACACACACACACCCACACTGACCCCAGGCAGAAACGTTTGGTCACATTTGTAACGTCGTAGCCTCATTTTTTAGCTGGAATCCAATCAAACGGCTAACGCAATGAAATTGATCTTAGAAATTTTAGAACGTACATTAAACGATGGACAGTACACGATCATGTAGGTGGAAAATTGAAGAAATGATGTAATAAATCGTTTGATTACACGCACCAATTGAAACAGTCGGCCTGCAGGGTTTTTGTTACGGTCAGTCACGTCGGATTAATGTGTAGGATTTGCTCCGAGGGGAGACAGGACTTTTGGAATTTAGCTTCGGTGGCAAATGTCACAGAAGTGCGAAGATCGGGATTTCAGAATCACATGATCGTTGATCGAGTGTTATGGAAAGGTTAAGGCTAGTTTGTAGGTTCAAACTGAAAAAAATAAATAAATAAATAAAAAGATGGACTTTTAATGTCAAATGTCTAGTACATAGGTGTCAAACTCAAGGCCCGGGGGCCAAATGCGGCCCGCAAAGCCATTTTGTATGGCCTGCGGGAGCTTAAAAAGCATTTAATGAAGTCCATGCAGCAGAGTTTATCAACCTATGAAATTAGGTTTTTTTTATTATTACACAGCAATGAACAATATTTGTAGCTTGAATAAATAGTTTTAGTCTGTTATGGAGGAGCTACATCTATACCAGACTCTATTCTGTTTGTATCAAAGTCTGAATGACTTTTATTTTAAAATATTGCCAGATTATCGTCAAATAAATCATTTTTTTGAATGAAGCAAATTAGAATTTTTCTCATTTTTTTCACTGTGTCCCACTGCGGGCTGGTACCAAAGGACCTATGGACTGGTACTGGTCCGCGAACCGGGGGTTGGGGACTTCTGATCTATACAGTGTTCCATTTAAAACCGGCCCTTCAACAGGAACTGTGTTGCTGTGTGGCCCCCGGTGAAAATGAGTTTGACACCCCTGGTCTAGTATGTCTCGTGGGCAAATAATATGGACCAAAATCCCTGGAGTCTGTTTTTATTGAGAAAAACAGAAATGTTTTAGCTTCTTTATATCATTCAGGGGTGTCAAACATACGGCCCGTGGGCCCAAACCGGCTCACTTTGTGGTTCAATACGGCCAACTTGATGAATGTTGAAAGTGAAAAATTGCATAAACACTGCAGCATGCTAGTGATGTGTTGTCAAATATTTCATTAAATATACATTTTGTCTAATTTATACATATGTACTAATATATGTATTTGTACTGATTTGCGTGAAAACAACAGGATCACTTTGCTTAATTGTAATGATGTTATTGGTCAGGGGTCATCAACTATGTTTGTCGGAGGGCCAGAATGTTATGGGCCTGTAATGATGTTAATGGTCAGGGGTCATCAACTATATTTGTCGGAGGGCCAGAATGTTATGGGCAGACAATGTTCGTTTTGGAATTCAATCGCGGGCCGGATTGGACGGTTTGGTGGGCTGGATTTGGCCCGCGGGCTGCCACTTGGTCATCACTGATGTAGATACATTGATCGGTATGACTTTGTTATCGTATATATTTAAAGAAAGATATTATGTGAGATGTACTTGGAAGTACATGAGGGTTGAGGTTAAAGGTTTAACGATGAACTTTATGGATTCCGCGCTGGAGAAACTATTGATTTGCAGCCTCTGAACTACAGCCAGTTTACATCGTATTAAATTAGTGACCTGACTCTGTCTCACCTGCTCTTGAGGCGGCGATCGGAACTCTTTGGTCTTCTTCGCCGTCACAGCCGCCGACATGTTAAGCGCCAACATCAGTTCGTTGTACCTGAACTTCTGGTTGTACTGCAGCTTGGAGACGAAGCTGTCGGAGAACGACACGATGGCCTCGATGCGGTGCTTCAGCTCGCAGTCGCAGAAATAATGAAGCAGCTCGCACATCTGGACAGGAAGGAGACAGGCGGCAAGAACGTTTTGTGTCAGAGATTCAGGCCAAGAACAGCTGCCAATAAACTACTATACTAAGACAATTGAGTATGAAGACCAGGCGTGGTCAAATAACAGGCCCGTGGGCCAGATACGGCCCGCTGGGCTTTCTAATCCGGCCCGCCAAACACTGGTGCACCGGTGTGGTAAGGACTTTCCGTTTCTTGCATAATGACAAATCCACTGTAATTGCAGTTGATGCCACTAGATAATGACAAATCGACTGTAATTGCAGTTGATGCCACTAGATGGCGGCCAACCATCCAATCAATACTAATTCTGATATATTTCGACACACACCTGTGCAAAAGTGTTTTTATTTTACATGGACTGTAGGGTGTGTGACTCAGGTTTGACACGTGACACGAGACAAACGTCTTCCGAGTGTCTGTTCGGTTATTACCTGTCGTTTGACAGGCTCCGGCAGCCTCTTCTCCAGCAGCCCTTTGATTGGCTGTTTATTCTCTTTGGCTGCTTCCTCTTCCCCAGCCTCCACCGCCTTCTCCTCCGCCCCCGTTAACCCTTCCTTGTCCGTGGCCCCGGCGGTCCCCTCGTCGTGTGCCTCTCTGAAGACATTAGGGTCAATGAGCAGCAGGATCTTGTGGACGTCCTCGCTGCCTAATACCCCCATCGTCAGCAAGGTGCTAATGAGCTTCAGGATGGGCACGAACTGGTACTCGACGCCGCCTCCCACAGGATCCCGGATGTGGTGCCCTCCGCCTTGGACGGCTTCCGTCAGCATGGAAATGGCCTTCTCTTTCAACGCGTCCAACGGAATCTGTGGGCTGTACAGATGCTGCTCCCGTTTGGTGCTGATGAAACAAGGCGGCGCAAAGTTCAGGCGTGGTTTGAGCGAAGTGCTGAGCCCCACCCCGGGTGGGATGTGCTTTTTGGAGGCATCGGAGAACAGGCGGATGGAGCGGGTCTCGGCCGTCACGGGGATGATGAACTCGTCCTTCATCATGAGGCGCGCCTCCTTGGCAGTCTCCAGGTGGATGCTGATCAGGACGTTGTAGAAACCCTCGCGTAACATGCCCGACAGGTACTGGTTGTCGATGGTGTACAGCAGCTGGGACTGGTCCAGGTGGCTGCACAGGGCATGTGCCACGCGGGTGTTGCCCAGAGCACAGAGGGCGCAGTAGAGCTTCAGGGTGTGGTAGTGGAACATTCTCAGGTCTTCCTGCTCGGACAGCTCCATGATGTCCACGCACCTTAGGAAAAGCACATTTTATTCGGACAACATTTTGGTTACTGGTATAAAACATACGGCCCACGGGCCAAAACCGGCCCACTAGCGTATTCAATCTGGTCCGCTTGATGAATTTTGACTAGCGTATTCAATCCGGTCCGCTTGATGAATTTTGAAAATAAAAAAAGACACAAACACTTCATGTTGATATTTTTTGCAAAATTAAATTAAATTCAATAATAATACATTTCTTATATACAGTGATCCCTTGCTATAACGCGGTTTACTTTTCACGGTTTCGCTACTTCACGGATTTGCATCGTGCATTGTGTTCTGCATTCTGATTGGCTAAAAAGTCACTCCGCTTCTTCTCTACCTGTGCGCCAATAACGTTGCGGTTTAATATGTACACGTACGTAAAACAGCTTGCCAAATTGACATTACGTACGTGCAAATTCTCTTGCAATTTCGAGTTTATCAAACCCCATAATGTCGACAAAACGCTCTGGACCGGCAAAAGTACCTGCGGTAGGGACCAAAAGGCAGCGGAAGATGCTGTCTATCGGTGATAAAGTAAAACTATTGGACATGCTAAATGAAGGTAAAAGCTATGCGGCTGTAGGTCGGCATTATGGAATTAATGAATCTTCCGTTCGTTCCATAAAGAAGGAAGAAAAAAACATAAGGAAGACAGCAGCAATAAGTTTTAATAAGGATTCAAAAAGGGTTGCAACTGCCCGCAACAAGACCAGGTAATTTGTATTTTTTTCATAATCATTTTTAATTTTCTCCCGTTCACGGTGGGCGGTGCTAATCTCCGCAATTTGAAGCCTTCTGTTCACGTTGATGATTAAAATTATTATTTGACAGTACATTACAGAAGTTATTTGTTGAAACGTTTCTAAAGTACTTTTATTTTACTTTATTTGTGAAACAAATGGTTGAGACTGTAAAATGGTTTGTTCGTTCTTTCTCTTCCTTTGCAGCCCGTCAACAAAATGACTAGATTTTTGTTTTGTACCTGTTCTCCTCCGGGATGTGAACGGCCAACATCTGCAGCGGCTCCACACACTGCACCACCCATCCGTGCCTCTCACTGACTCGGGCCGTTTCCACCTTCAGGAAGATGTTGGGCATTCGGCTCCACAGCACCGCGTTGATGGTTTGGACGTCCAGACGCGGCGGACACTGTGGCACCGGGTTCTTATGTTCGCTTTTAAAAATGGCCGACGACAAAGGCATGGCGTTCTGGAGACCAGGAGCAGACCCGGGAGAAGGCAGTGGATTTCAGAAATGTCAGAATGCCAAAAAGTCTTTTTGGAAAGATGAACAGTTTCAAGCGTCTACCTTAACTTTTCCCAGCTCGAACTGGAAGAGATTTGGGCTGGTGGGTCTGACGAAGACAGCGGGAAACAGCTTGGTATTTGGTTCCACCTGCAGCACAGCGGAGATCGGTGAGTGAACCAAACCGTCCAAACCGGAAGCACACATTAAAAGCTCCAGCAGCAGCGGGAGAGCATGACTTTGTGGAAAGAAGCTTAATGACTCAGACTGTGTGTGTGTGTGTGTGTGAATCATGACTAAAAATACACTCATTTGCCTTAAAATACTAGGTCAATTTTTATGGCTAAAATTAAGATAAAATATACTTTTTTGGTATTTTGGATTTCACTGTCATCTCTTGATGACAGTAAAATCCCATATATATAATTTTCTGGAAAAGTCTTCAAAAATAAAGGTTTCTCAAAAATGACTAAAAATGCATTCATTTGCTTTAAAAAAATTAGCTATATCCATGTCTGTGTGTGAGTGTCTCATCTTCAGAGAGTCAGCTCCCTAGGTTGAACAACAAGACAAAATAGTAAAATAGTATATAATAGAGTAAGTCAAATTAGTTTTATTGTAAAGTGAAGACTAATGAGAAGAGTTAATTAGAAAACAGGACATGGAAGAAACTGTTGAGGTGAAATGTTAGTGTCAGTGGGTATAAAGTGTCAAAATCTTATTAGAAAATATTTCATAAAACAGAATACAGTTTAAGGCTATGCTTTTAAACCATGGGTTTGCAACCCTACTTTGGGGTCGCTTGGAATTCAAATGTGGTCACATGAAATGTCGAGTCATTGATAAAGAAAAAACTTTTTTTTTCAACAGACTATTATTCTTTTTTTTCTATTATTAAAACATATGTGGAAAATACATACAGAGTGTTCTGAAATTAGCTACTGGAGTATAAGCTCTGCTCACATTCTGTTCAACATGCTGGGTGACATATGTAGAAAATTATTAGCCATGGCTAACTATTATTAGCTATGGCTAACTATTATTAGGTATGGCTAACTATTATTAGCTATGGCTAACTATTATTAGCTATGGCTAACTATTCCCCAATAGGAAAATTCTCAAAGCAGCTCATATGGTTTTATATAACTCCAAATATTTTACCTACTTTTCTAGACACGTGTATTACCTGGTACGACGTGGATATCTCTTTGCCGTTTACAGTGAAGGTCACCAGACCGGTGGCCAGGTCAATCAGACAGCCGATTTCCAAGTCCACGTTGCTGCGACTGGCGGCGTGAGCAGCATTGGTGACATCACCACCCCACACCATGTAGCAGTTACTCCTCTTTACGCTGCACAGACGTCACACAGTGTTTGTTTCTGGTGGTACACGACGGTCAAGAACACGGTACAGCAGGTCAGCGCGCCTCACCTCTCGTGAACCCGCCCTCTCTCGTCGCCCAGGGTGACGGTCACCGTTCTGTTTTTGCTCAGGTTGAAGTTGTTGCTGTAGTAGTGATAGTCGGGCGTCACCCATCCGACCCACACGCCGGCCGGGTCCTGTCCGGCGAAGATCCTCACTGAGTGGTAGTACTGCGAACGGACGAGTCAGAGTCAGAGACACAGTAAGTGTGTGGCTGAGGATCGTGTTAATGTTTCACTGAAATAATAAATAATGACATAAAGACAGAGCTCGGGGGAGGCGTTACCGCGGTGATGCTGCTGTAGTCGACTCTTCGGCTCTCGTCGCTGTGCCGCACTGATCTCAGAGGGTATCTTCAAAGAGCATAAATATTACGACAGTATTAGCAGAAATACCCATGAATTATTGATACACAGCACGTTTTTTCTAATGGATCGAGACAGAAACATTTAGAGCGCTGAACCGAGGCTATCATTTTTAATTTTACAGAATAAATAAAAGATATTCTGCATACAGTAATACTTTAGATCACTATTATATATATATATATATATATTTGCATATATGGCCCGATATATTTGCACTTAAGTGACCCTTGTTATTATCTCATCCCTCTCTATGTCAGGGGTCATCGACTGTATTTATTGGAGGGCCAGTATTTCTCTGGACAGACACCAGGGGGCAGTATACGCAGATAAAATCCAACAAAAATCACATTTTTTTGTCTAACATTACCTGATGTTTATTTTAGAATCCAGTCGAGGGCCGGATTGGATGGTTCAGCGAGCTGGATTTGGCCCGCAGGCCGCCAGTTGATGATCACCACAAAAGTACTTTGTTAAAAGATTGAACTCCTAAAAACTCCTTTTAAAGACAAACTATTGAAAATGTTTATTTTCTGGACTGTTAACTTGAATCCAACAACAGTTGGTTACAATTATGATCGTAAAGATTTTCTTTTGTAATAACTCGTTAGCAGTTGTGCAACACTTGTCAAATGTCCAGTATAATCCAGCTCATTCTCGTCCGTACTCCTTGTCTCCTACCGTCCACTGTCTATCAGTCATCACGGTCATTTGATCCAAAGCAGTTAAGAACTTGGCAACTGGACTGTGTATCAGTTTCTAGAAGCCAAGTCCGTCCAGTGGCCCAGTTTCTCACTGCTTTGAAAGTGTAATTAATCCATTCTCTGTTTAATGAATGGACGTCGTCTTTCATTCAATATTTAAAATGTTACAGAAGAGTTGAATTGTTGTTGTTATTTGTCTCGTTGGTGTCGTTCAATGTCCTTTCTAACAGTCTTTAAGCTGCTGTATATTTTTGGTATTTTGTATTATTATTATTAATAATAATAATAAAGATTTTCTTTATCTTTAATTATTATTATTATTATTATTATTATTATCCCTCTCTATGTCAGGGGTCATCGACTGTATTTATTGGAGGGCCAGTATTTCTCTGGACAGACACCAGGGGGCAGTATACGCAGATAAAATCCAACAAAAATCACATTTTTTTGTCTAACATTACCTGATGTTTATTTTAGAATCCAGTCGAGGGCCGGATTGGATGGTTCAGCGAGCTGGATTTGGCCCGCAGGCCGCCCGGTGATGATCACCACAAAAGCACTTTGTTAAAAGATTGAACTCCTAAAAACTCCTTTTAAAGACAAACTATTGAAAATGTTTATTTTCTGGACTGTTAACTTGAATCCAACAACAGTTGGTTACAATTATGATCGTAAAGATTTTCTTTTGTAATAACTCGTTAGCAGTTGTGCAACACTTGTCAAATGTCCGGTATAATCCAGCTCATTCTCGTCCGTACTCCTTGTCTCCTACCGTCCACTGTCTATCAGTCATCACGGTCATTTGATCCAAAGCAGTTAAGAACTTGGCAACTGGACTGTGTATCAGTTTCTAGAAGCCAAGTCCGTCCAGTGGCCCAGTTTCTCACTGCTTTGAAAGTGTAATTAATCCATTCTCTGTTTAATGAATGGACGTCGTCTTTCATTCAATATTTAAAATGTTACAGAAGAGTTGAATTGTTGTTGTTATTTGTCTCGTTGGTGTCGTTCAATGTCCTTTCTAACAGTCTTTAAGCTGCTGTATATTTTTGGTATTTTGTATTATTATTATTAATAATAATAATAAAGATTTTCTTTATCTTTAATTATTATTATTATTATTATTATTATTATTGTTGTTGTTGTTATTATTATTATTAATAATAATAATAAAGATTTTCTTTATCTTTAATTATTATTATTATTGTTGTTGTTGTTGTTATTATTATTAATAATAAAGATTTTCTTTATCTTTTATTATTTAAAATAAAAGATAAATTATTATAATTATTAACAATAATAATAATAATAATAATAATAATAATAATAATAATAATAATAATAATAATAATAATAATAATAATAATAATAATAATAATAATAATAATAATAATAATAATAATAATAATAATAATAAAATGATCATTTTTCCAGTTTTATTTTCCACTAACACCAATGGTAAATAATGGTAAACGATCTAGAATCCAAGCACTTGTCCATTCCGATCACCTGTGTTTGACTTTGAGGATGTCTTCGTCGTGGACTCCGTTCATGTCCACGGCCGGGATGGACTTGAAAACGGAGTGGAACTCCACCGGCATGCTGAGACGACAGAACACCATGTCAGCGTTGCTGTTCTGCGTTCCAAACGTCTTGTGGGTCACTTTGAGACAGGGGGGGCTGTCGATGGTGCCGTCAATCCTGACCACCTGAAAAAAAAACACAAAAAAAAAAAACCAAGAAGAACAATCAGAACTCACTCCTGTCCTGAGTCCAAACACAAACTCCATCTCAGTTCAAAGTGCTGGTGTCCTCACTGTGATGTGGTTGTGGTCCTTGGGCACGTTGATGAAGGTGGGCAGACGTTTGCTGAACCACATGGTCACCTCTCTGTTCATGTTGACGGCGAAGGGTTCGAATCCCTCCTGCAGCCCACACATGGTGTAGTACTTGAAAGTGCTGGCATCTTTCCCCAGATTCATACGACCCACTTCAGCCAGGCCCAGGCTGCAGACGGGGATGAACCCTGAGGAACAGCCAGCAGGGAGCGACAGAGAGGGTGAGGTGGAGGAGGGAGTGACGGAGAGGGTGAGGTGGAGGAGGGAGCGACAGAGAGGGTGAGGTGGAGGAGGGAGCGACAGAGAGGGTGAGGTGGAGGAGGGAGTGACAGAGAGGGTGAGGTGGAGGAGGGAGTGACAGAGAGGGTGAGGTGGAGGAGGGAGTGACGGAGAGGGTGAGGTGGAGGAGGGAGCGACAGAGAGGGTGAGGTGGAGGAGGGAGCGACAGAGAGGGTGAGGTGGAGGAGGGAGCGACAGAGAGGGTGAGGTGGAGGAGGGAGCGACAGAGAGGGTGAGGTGGAGGAGGGAGTGACAGAGAGGGTGAGGTGGAGGAGGGAGCGACAGAGAGGGTGAGGTGGAGGAGGGAGTGACGGAGAGGGTGAGGTGGAGGAGGGAGTGACAGAGAGGGTGAGGTGGAGGAGGGAGTGACGGAGAGGGTGAGGTGGAGGAGGGAGCGACAGAGAGGGTGAGGTGGAGGAGGGAGTGACGGAGAGGGTGAGGTGGAGGAGGGAGTGACAGAGAGGGTGAGGTGGAGGAGGGAGTGACGGAGAGGGTGAGGTGGAGGAGGGAGCGACAGAGAGGGTGAGGTGGAGGAGGGAGTGAGAAGCAGTTGAGAACATTGACAGCAGGGGAGAGGAGGGGAGAGGAGAGGAGGGGAGGGGAGAGGAGGGGAGAGGAGGGGAGGGGGGGGGAAAGGAGGGGGGAGGGGAAAGGAGGGGAGAGGAGGGGGGAGGGAATAAATCCAAGCATCTTTTGCAGAGAGGCAATTTACATTTATAAGTTTGTAATAGAACACCACTTCAGATTAATAACCACACAGGCTTCACCAAGGCTTCATAGGAGGTTGACGTCGTGAAAATCACACAGCGCCGCACACGTGTGACGCCACACACACACACACCCTCTCTGTCAGCATCCACATAAACAAACACACACTTCCTTTACCATCCTCGGTCTCAAAGTCGGTGAAGCAGAGCTCGGAGCCGGTGCTGGTGATGAGGATTTCTCCATTCAGGGTGAAGATCATGGACTTGTCCTCCATGTTGATCATACAGCCCACCACGTCTCCCGCGTGCCAGCAGCGGCCAAACAGGCGGCTGCCCATGTTCAGACACTGACCCTGGGTTTTCAGAAACAAACACACGCAGCAGCAGCAGCAGCAGCAGCAGCGTTACCAGAATGTCGGAGCAAACTGAGGGAACAACCTTATATTTCCTGTAAGCTCTGAAAAAAAAAAAGAACTAATAAATGACATCACAAAAATAACACTGACTGAAATGTCTGAAATTAGCTTTAGCTTAGCGCTCCTGATAGTCCTGTAAATATGTTGTTTTTTTCACCCTTTTCAGAACATGTTTGGAAAATTTCAAGTTAAGTATTTGTATTTGTAAGTATTTGCTCTCCACACACACACACGCCATCTATTCCTTATATGGGCATTGTTATTTTAAACCTGTTACATTTCAGGAAATTTGGAAATAGCTGGATTTTAGCGCACAGCTTTTAGCTAGCTGAGACGAAGCTCAAAGTCATCTTAAATATATTAATAACAATAATAAAAGATCAAATGATCTAATAGATAACGACATAAACAGCAGTATTAGCAAAAGAGCGAGGGTTTTTTTGGCCAAAAACAACAAAAAAATAGCTAAATTAGCAGGCTAGCTATTTAGCAAGTAATGTTTAAGACTGAAGCATGTGTGGTACGGAGCATTTGACAGCAGGGGGTGCAATTTTAGAGAAGGCTAATCAGCCAGGTATGACATTGAACATCCTCCCCCCATAAATCTCATGCCAGCTCGTCTGTGCCCAGTTCCACATCTGGCTTACATCCAGGTCTGGCCCAGCCCACTCTCATGTCCCCCCCCGTCACGGCCTCAAACTCGAAGTACCATTTCCCGTACTTCACCGCGTACGTTCTCTCCACTCGGAAAAAGCGGATCTTGTCGATGCTGAGCCGCTCCGCCGCTTGTCCTTCACGGTGAGAAAAGAACAAACGCAATGTCATGAGTTTCCTCCACCAAATCTAGGTACAAAAAATATTAAACATCCATTTCTCGCCTGAGATAAAATATACAAATATTCAAATATTCAAGCATTTATTCAAAAGTAAAGTGAGTAAAACTCAGCATATATTCAAAAGTAAAGTGAGTAAAACTCACCGCTTTCCTGGTCTGACGGGTCGATGTTGTAGCCGTAGCCAATCAGAGTGCGGATCGCCTCTCGGAGACTGTCCCTGTTGGACTTCTTGGTGCGCTCGTCCAGCAAAACGTAGGGAACGAGACGAGGGTTGCGTTTACTCTTGAGGTCCTGCAGAGACATGAGGCAACGGGGGATCATTTCTCACTTTTAGCCACAGGCGGTCCACAACTAGACGTCAATAATGATTCAGGTTGATTATTATTTCATGATAATATCTGATAATACTGTACAACACTGTTGTATTATATCGTAGCAGATTTATTACCAACGGTACAAACGGTCAGGCTAGTGATGCTAAATGCTATCCCAGATGAAAACATAAAATAAAAATCAAATTAACTAATTATTTTACTCATTTGTGATCCTTGATGACAAGCCACAAAACAAATACCACCGCTACAGGGTTTTTTTTTATTGGGTTTATTGTAGAATCAATAATGTTTTATGAGCAAAAGATCGAAAGGTCAAACTGACTCGATCCACAGATGAATAAAAATGATGCATTTACTGGTTGGTTTATAGCAGTAATGAATACAGGGCAGACTAAAATAAAAAATAATTTTAAAAAACAGTTTGTACTCGCAGTATTAAAATATGCAGTACTACATGTTTTTCCTCTGTTCAGATATACAGTAATTAGTGTTAATCGTATTTAGTTGAAATTGTTATTTTTTTCCATTCCTTTGGATCGATCTAAAGAATGTTGCACAGATTTAATACCAAATACTGTAAATGCTCGCGGGGACACACTGTGCTCAGTACGTTTGGTACCACCTCGTGCCTGGTTTAATGTGTACAGACAGTACAACGCAGACAGTGTGGGCGGTAATTAATGAAGCACAAAGGAGAAACTGTACTTTACACCGACAGTGTAAATCAGTTCATCTAAAATATCTCTTACCACAGAGGAACTACATTTATTTTTTTGTCGTAATAATCTTTCTTTCCAGATACGTTGGTAGGACAGGGAGTAACATCGGTCCCAGCTGTACCTGCTGAATGCCATACGTCCATCCCTGTTTGATTCGATCCTTGGCCCAAACATTGTGCGCGTTCTCTGCTAGTTTGTCCACCAGCAGCTCCTGACCTGGAGTCAGTTTGATGTCCGACAGGTCCAGAGGAGTTGGTTTATAGCCGTTGGACATCATGTAGCTACGGATGGAGAAACGACAAGAAGACACGTGTCCATGGATTCTGACACTCATATAGATTTTTTAACTTGAATTTATGGGAGACATTAGGGTTGTAAAAAAAAATATATCGACATCCTGAAATATTGTGATATTTCATGTAACGATACCACATGGATAAACTACAGCAGCGGACCCCAACCGGTACTGCGGACCAGTGATATAACCACACCATGGTTAACGGATCATTAAGTATTAAAAAAAAAAACACTTTTTAGACTTGATTAGAGTTAGAGTCTGAATGACGTGTTGTTTTGAAACATTGACAGATTATCTTAGAATGAAAAAAAACACATATATATGTATATATGTATATACATATATATACATAAATATGACTGTATTATTTTTTAATTAAGTAATTTAGTAAAACCGTGTCCCGACCAAATGACCCTTGTTCTTTAGCTAGTATTGATTTTTCTATAAACAATTATCATACAAATGTTCGCGGCGTTTGTTTATTTTATTTTTCTTTTATTTCTGGTTATTACAAATATCTGTTCCAGTTCCAGTAACTGCTGTGATGTTAAGATGGAACAGAACTGTGTCTTATCTGTCCCAGTTTCAGTAACTGTTGTCATGTTAAGATGGAACAGAACTGTGTCTTTACTATGATGATTTTACAGTTTTACTGCAATTCAACTGTTTCAAAAACTCAATATACCACAGTGACTATAGTTTCGTAGTAAATCGCAATACATCGTATCGTCGCCTCTGTATCGTGACAGGTATCGTAGCCAGATTCTTGCCAATATACAGCCCTAGTAGACTCTCTTTTTTTTCTCTTCTTACTGCGTGTCAGTGGACATATTTAAAACAACTGACGACTGAGTGTCTGACTCAGCTGCAACCAGACAGAAATGTCACTTCGACAGAATGAATACTCACTTCTTGGGGAGCTTTATTTTTTTCAGCGCCTCCTCTGCATTCGGATTCACCTGAACGACACGACAGCCGAGCGCCAGCAGAGTCCTGTAGGGGGGAGAAATGTGAGCACAGAGTGCACTGAGCACACTCCTCCGACATCACTTTTTCCTGACACTACATGTTGATCTGCAGTTAAACTTCCCTAATTTGCCGGGAGGAGAAATGTCAAAGAAACCCAGAGGAATCCGGCGGACGGGCAAGTGTTTTTGACAAATTTTCTTACCATGTCGAGAAAGGGATAAAGGTGGAGGTAAAGTGAGCGTGATGTCACCGAGGAACCCGTCTCTGCCACAGCAAATCTCCATTAATCACAGCAAATGTTACCTCGAGTCGTTTAAAGAGCGCTCGCGCTATGTAAATCACTTGTAATAGGTCTCACTGGGACTTGAGGAGATGTAGGACGCAGACGTGCGGATCAGAGACTGGAGGACGGACTGATTTGCGCAGCATTGATTAAAAAAAAAAGGCAATGCAGATATTTATCGATCAACTTTTCCTGAAGAACAAAAAAAAAAAATAATTTCTCTAACGTCCCTGACGTGTGGCAACAAAAAACATGCAGTTGTGGTGTTTGGGTTTTTTTTCTAGGGATGTGCGATAATAACGGCCATTACACCGATATTATCGACCGTTATTAGCTTGTGAAAACCCGATAACGTAATATCTTGGTTTGGTCCAGATGATGTGACTTAAAAATATTTTTGAAGTAAAAGTGATACTAGTATTGTCATGGTGAAGCAGTGCACCACTGCACACGATGAAATGTGTCCTCTGCCTTTAACGGCTGAACATATCGGAATCGGAAATGAAAGGTTTGGACGACGCAGGTATATCAGACATCGGCAAAAATTTCATATCGGACATCCGTAGTTTTTTCTACGATGTCCTGTGTCGTGTTTTTTCTTCTCTTTTTCTGTCACAGCTGCACTGAATCCTGAGCTGATGAGCCAGACCACTAGAGGGCGTGGCACTTAATTAAAGAAGGACAGTATTTTAGCTCCAGCTCCACATTTGGATTCTTGCCCAGCGTCGTCATTTTTTAAGTTTTTTTTGAAGTTTTTTCACCTGGATTTTTGTCGACACTGCCACCTGTACACAGAGCGCCTCCTGGGGCAGGAAGTCACCACCAGGTGGAGACAACACATACCCACTTCCTGGACCCTGCGGCCTTCACCTCCCTTGAGACTTTGTATATACACATTGGTGAAGAATAAACGTCGTTCCTTCATGCATGTCTACGTCTGGGTTCCCTCTCTCTTCTCGTCGTATGAACGTCGTATACGTGACAGCAGTAAATTTGATCGTAACCGTCCTGATGGACTCGGTGCAGCGTCCTGTCTTCTGGTGCGGAGGACGTGATCCACGCTCCATAAACAACCGTTTCATGCATCAACAGGAGAGCGACTTGTCTCTCTTTAATCTGTCTGTCTTGGCGTTTCTCTCCCTCCCACTCTCTCTCTCTGTTTTCATCAAACAAAAAGGGATAAAAAAAAAAAAAAATACCCATAAGGCGCAACGTACTTCAAAGTTTCTGTCGACATCTGCAAATTGTAGTTTTTTTCCGTCTCTGGCAGCTTGGAAAAATCCACCAGGCATGGATGCTGCCGCTTATTATCGTCCCTGATCTGTGGAGGGAAAAAAGAAAAGTCAGAAAAATAGAATAAAATAAATATATATATTTCATAAAAATTTTAAATATTGTTCCTAATGGGCCCATATAACAGAAGGGTTTGGGGGGGGGGTCCATTCACGATCTTAATGTCATTGTCAATTATTGTCAATGACATCGTGAACTAACATGAGAATGGGTTTGTGATCTTGGTTCTGGTGCCGATGGGTTGCGGGGTCTACTCTAGTGACCATGTTATGAACAGAGGAAGGAAGACGTTTTCTTGGAGGACAGAAAAGGTGCACAAATGGAATATTAAGTGAGGGGGGGGGTCGGCAGGACAATGACAATGACAATGGGGGGAGGACGATCCTGCAGGAATCCTGCAGGTCCAGGTACACGTTTACACTTATCTGGCATTTCTTTCAACCAATTACAACCATGTCAGTGCAACAACTGAGGTAATAGTTGTTTATTTATCTGCAGGCGGCAGTAAATAACAGAAGAGACTCTGTTGATTTTCTCCGCCGCGGGACATCAACTGTAAAAACAGCAGTAATTGAACATAATGAACGGCAGAGAATAAGCTGCGGTGGAACCACATCCACTCGTGAATTTTAATCCTCAGCAAACCAAGCCCTCCCCCTCCCCCCCCCCCCCCCCAAAGGGAGAAAACAAGGGGGGGGGGGGGGGGGGGGGCGGTTCATAACAATGGAGGTTCAAAATCCAATTATTCCACTGGTGTCACTCTTCAAATCCTCGCGTTTGATTCAGGATTCTGCTGTTGTGTGTAAAGGCTAGTGGTATTAGTAATGGAGGGGGGAGAAGGGGGAGGAGGGGGGGCTCTTATATGTAATATGTGTATTATAAATACTTTATACTATTCTTTATTTGAGTTATTATTTGTTCTTCCAAGGGCAAAACAGGTCACCAGTGTTTTTTTAACCTTGGGGTCCAACGGTTGGTGCGACTTGATTTCCTGCTACTTTGTGAACCAATCATTCTACTCTGTATTTGAAACACAAAAAAAGGTTGGGAATCAACACAATAAACTAAGATCTTTTTTAACTACACTTTGAATATTAGGTGCTAATATAATAAATGTAAACAACTCCCAGGACAGCCTGATTATCTCTGTCAAAATAAAAAAAGGAACCAAAGTTTTTATTAGCTTAGCTTAGCATATTTTTCAATCTATATAATATATAATACAGGGACAAAAAGCAAAACCATAGTAAACTTAAACAGAAATATTTATATGTTTATATATTTTTTTTAATTACCCTGTTGGAAGTGAGATAACGGTAACATGCTAACCACTAAATTCACCACTGTTTATTTTAATCCGAAACACGTAGCATTAGCATCTCAGGTCATGGTGTTACTCTGTATATAAACGGTGCTTAGCTAATATGCTAATACTAATATGCTATATATATATATATATATACATACATATATACATATATATATATAGATATTTTTATGTATATATATATATATTTATGTATAATGATATAAAAACAGACATTTATACAAATGACAACTTTAAAAGGTCAGTCCTGTCCTGATGCTATTTCCAGCAAAAAACTTCCAGTTTTTACCTTAAAGAAATGTACAAGAAACAAAATTAAAGGACACGACAGTCCAGTCTATTGTCCAGGGTTGAAGACATTAGTAGCTCCAGGCCAAAAAAAAAATCAATACAAACACAGACAGTTTCATTATGAGTAGGATTCTTTTTTTTCTCCTTTGAGCAAATGTGGCTTCACTTAAGTTAATGCCAGATGTCCTGCAGCAGCGAACACGAGGCACGGAAGACAAAAACATCAGAGATGAATTATATATTTTCGTGAGGATTCGTTTTCAATATAGAAGACGCTGTGACAGTAACTATCAAACGGCGGCCCGTGGGCTGAATACGGCACACCAAATCGCCCAATACGGCCTGAAACTGGATTCCAAAATTGTGAGGGTCAAAGAAGAAAAATATCATGTGGTTAAAAGGTAACAATGGCTTCAAGTTTGAAATAAGATAAAAATATATAGAAACAAAAAAATCAAATATAGATAAGAAGATAATGTTAGAAAGAAATTTGATTTTTTTTTTTTTTTTTTTGAGTGTCTGACCCCCAAGGATGTCTGTCAAGAAAAATTTTGGCCATCTAAAAAATATAGACGGTGACCCCTGACCTATGGTTTTATATTTATATTTCATATTTTCTTCACTACATTAACACAGAATCACAGGTTTTCCCCTTGGTTTATTGCGGTGCAGAATTTTCCAAACTGTCCCTGTTTTGCCTTTGGATAAAACAAAATGTTCTACTTCAGGACTTATCCTAACTTCAACACACACACACACACACACACACACACACAATGACTGTGCTACCTACAAACAAAAACCTAGAATGAAACTTCTAAATGAGTCGTACGGAAGGCATCAAACATGAGGAGTGATTTTTTTTTTTTTTCCTTCTACTTACCCTCTTTTTTGGAGTGAACCGCAAATTATAAAAGAGAAAGCAAGATGATGCAGGTGATGGTTCAGTTTTAACATTATCAGCTGCTGATAGACAGCCTTTTTATCTTCACCAACATGGAGGTGTGTGTATGAGCTTCTTTTCTGTGTCACTGTGACAGCGTTTATCTCTTCACCAACATGGAGGTGTGTGTATGTGTTGATCATGTCGTCGACGTACGTATGTGAAGGACCCGTCCGTCTGGTTCTTACCTTGCCGTACGACCAGCCCAGCTCAATCTTATTCATGCCCCACAGTTCATGGATGTTCTCGGCCAGCTTGTCTCGGACCTTCTCCAGATGCGGTGGCATCACAATCTACGAAAACAGTCAAAAAGTCAAAATCTGAATTTTTTTTTTTTTTACAACAACTGCATCGGTGTCCACTGCCGCCAGTTTACCTGACTGGTTTCCACAGGGGTGGGGATGAAGGAGGCCTGCGACATGAACTGGGTGGTGCCCAGCAGGTCTCTGACGCCGTCCACGTCCCTCTTGTATTCTTTCACCGGCTCTACTTTCATCTTCTCCTTCGGGAGCAGAGCCTCACAGCACGGAGCGTAACTCGATGGAGGCAGGAACTTGAAGTCGCCGTGACGACCACCCAGCAGAAAACGCACCCTGCAGGGACAAATTCAGGTAATCTGTAGAGATGTCCGATAATATCGGCCGACCGATATTTGGCATAATTACGTAATATCTGTAAGAATCTTCATCGGTTTTTCCTCCGATAATTAAAAAACCCGATAACGCAATGTCTGGGTTTCGCCAAATGATGTGTGCCCTAAAAATAGTTTTGGGGAAAAACGGCTGTATATTAAAGTGAAAGCCACTAGATGGCAGCATTGCCGCTGATTTATTTAATCTCATACTCATACAGTGGTTTGTACAGATAAAGAAATAAATATTACCTATATTGCCTATATCGGTATTAATTGATAAGTGTTTGGACAATATCGGAATATCGGATTTCAGCAAAAAGGTAATATCGGACTAGTCGTCTTATTTTTGTTTCTTTCGTACACATCCTAGAGAAAAATAAATGCTCATTTATAAGGAGAAACCTGGAGTGCAACATAAATTGGCTTCTTAACTGGCCAATAATAAGACAGCAATTAATGAAAGATGCAGTCGAAGACATAAGCGACCCAGCCTTGCTGCTCAGAGTGAGTACTTCCCCTCTTCCTAACCCGTATCACATCAGTTCCAGACTCTGCTCTGAAAGGAACAGGTTTAGCTCGGAGAATGGGAAAAAAAAAAAAAAAAGGAAAAGAAAAACTCAGGTCATCAAGATGAGGAGACTCGCCTGGGACTCGCCCAAAATAGCTACTCTAGTAGTGGCTGTGACGCAAACAGGCCCATCCTGTCTCCAATCACGGGAGCACTGAAGACGTGAGGCTGCAGCTTCCCTGATGTCGACCCTCGTCCCCGGGTCGACTCACGTAGGAGCTTAGTGCTAATTATCTACAGCATCTGCTAATGGGACGAGAAGTGTGAGGTTAAAAATGATGGTTCGTATCAAGGACGTATTTTAATGAAGGTAATGGTTGAAAAGTGAGGGTGAATTTTCAGGCAAATATTTTATTATTTTTTAGTTCAAGCGTGGGTAAAGGTTTGACTCGCGGGTCACAATTGGTCCTAAAATTAGAAAGGGGGGCAGATAGATGAAGAGTTAAGATAAATGACATCTAAAAGTCATGCATAAAGATTAAAATGCTCTCAGTCTTTTCTACGCCATCTACTGGGGAGCTACTGACATTGCAGGAAAAAAGGCAGAAGTATAATGATAATATAAAATTAATAAAATAATTTGGACAAATTTGGCGGGTTGGATTACAAAGGCAAACGGGCCACATCCGGCCCCCGGGCCTTAGTTTGCTCATGCCTGGTCTAGTTTCATTAAATGTTAAATGTTAGACACAGATACTGTATTTGAGAATACTTGAAGTGTTTATTTTTCTAAAGAAAGAAAAAGAAAAAATCTGGAGCATTTTAGAGCGACGTACTTAACTCACAGAAATCCTTCATGAGAGGCGTCAAACAGATGCACGTCTTTTACCTTTTAAGTGGTTCCATTATGGTCGTCACAATGAAGCTGACAGACAAAATTAGCAACTGAATGAAAGGAACTTCACCAGTTGATGTGAGCTACAAGTCAAGACACAGAGTGATGATTCTATGGAGCTGAATTTTGAGTTAAAGTTTTATATATTTTTCTTCGCATTTTACCATATTAATAATTTCATCATTCATAAAACAAAAAATTTTTGTGGAATACAAACATCTTTCTGTTGTTCTTTGTCTTTCTCTTCCGACAATATAAAGATGATGTTGAAGTGTTTAGGAGCGTCGATTTATTTCGATTAATCATGGTTGATTATAAACACGATTAATCATGATTATTTGCTATTAAATTTTATTTTTTCTGTGATTAATCAGAAATTGTAATTCTTTCACAGCCTGACTACCTTCTACTGTATATCAGGGGTGTCAAACATACAGCCCGCAGGCCAAAACCAGCCCGCCAGAGTGTTCAGTCTGGCCCACTTGATGAATTTTGAAAATAAAAATATATTTATGGTAAATATTTACCATAAATATATTTTTTGGTAAAAAAATATATTTATGGATATTTATGGTAAAATTATATTTCATTAAATATGAATAAAAGATAATAAATACCTAAGATACTTGTACTTCTATGCAAAAATCATGATTCATTTTAAACATAATTAATCACAATTAACCCTTAATTTTCAGATTGAAAATTGAAATCATCTGTTCTATATATATGGGAACAGACCCCAGACCAACAGTGTTAAGTAATTATTAACACAGTATGCCACACCGCTGTGGCCATTCTAAAAGTCGGTCAATAAACATTCAGCTTGACTTACTGTCTGAGAATCTATTTCTATTAAGCAGGAAGAAATGAAATTCTCCCTTTGAGCTTACACGGACAAATGAAATCAAACCGGCACATCGGTGTCGGGTGTCTCGGGGTTTTTGATCAGTGTCGGCTGCGGATGTGAAATGCGGTGTTGCTTTTACAAAGTCCCAGTCAATTGTGAATATGATGGAAAACGGCTTCAGAACTCAATGTCAATCTACCTACTGTACCTGTGATCGCCATGGCAACAGTAAAATTAGGAAGCAGGTGAAAAACATGTTGGATGGTGAGTCAGACCTAAAGGCAGCCTCAGAAACTCTGAGTCCACGTTCATCTGGTTCATAATTGTCCAATCATCTGCCTCTGTTTATGTTTGTGTCCCAGTCTTCGCTGATTGTTTCCAGGAAACTGGAGTCAAAAAAACAAAACACTCACTTCACCCCCGCTGAGAAGCTGACCACAGGGAAGAAGAGGCCGTCGGTGTTGAAGTTCTCAAACATGCCCTGCACCGGTTGGCCGTTGATTCTGAAGGAGATGCTCGGAGCGCCGAGGTCCAGGCAGCAGCTCACCACGTCCTCCGAGGTCAGAACGTGCTGGTTCATGGACGCCACCGCCCGAGGTATACGACCTGATGGGGAGAAATACCCACAACAGTTAACATACACACACCCATACACACACTCCGCATCGTTCCTGTACTACCCTGAGGTCCGGCTCAGACGTAAGGAACCTTATTTTAAGACCCCGAAAGTTGTTGATGAATGTCCTGACGATATCAGACTAAACTCTCTTCACAGCCTGACACGGCTGAGACGCTCAGGCAGGAGAAATACTGTATTGGCACAGGTGGAGACAGACACCACCTAGCCACGGAGATTAACACTGCAGGGTGTCAGTTCAGTCTAGACACAATCTGCCCAAACACCCCGGGGGTAACACTCATCTTCAACACTCACCGCCTCAGCTCAGCACAGATAAAGAAAACACAGTGGAACCTCGAGATACGAGAAAGCCTTCGAGCACATTTTTGCTTCGAGACACGAGTAAAGATTTGAGATACGAGCGTGCTTACAGATACCGCCACTAGGTGGCCGACCACTCGGAGCAGCCCATGCTGCGTCACTCATTCACTTAACGTGTCCGTCGACTTCCGTACGCATCTCCCGTGAGTCTTCCGCATTGTGTTTGCGTTATCTACGTGATTTTTTCTCTATTTTGTGCGTTATTCTTCATAATAGTGATGAGTCCTAAGAGAGTGAGTGGTGAGGATGGTGGTGAGAAGAAGAAATGCATGATGATAAATGATGATAAATATGAGCGTGGCGCCCTCTAAAGGAAAGAACACAAATCGAAAAAAAGCAAAAAAATAAAAAATAGAAGGGTAAAAAAAAATAAATTCTGGAACGGATTACGGTCATATCTGGAGGCTCCACTGTCAATCTCTCCCACCGACCTGACCACAGGTGAAGTCCGTCAAATCCAAACGAGTAGAGGTCATCTCCGACCCCGTTGCCGCCCCAACCCTCTCCTCCTCCAGGGTAGGGGGCGTATCCTTTGGTGTTGGCCCAGCCCACTCTCAGGTGTGAAGGCTCGCTGGTGACGAAGTGGTCCACTTGGTCGATAATCAGCTCGTAGTACCACTTCTTATACTGAGCCGAGCCCTCGCTGACCCCCAGGAAGACGTTTGGCCGCATGCTGGCGGGTTGGCGAGGAAAATGATGTCATTACACGGAAAATACATTACATTTTTTAAAATAATAATTTGATTTATTTATTAAATTGTATTATAATTAAAGTATTATCATCTTTATTATAGCGTCATAACTGAAGTAGCCTTTGCACAAAAGGGGGGCGCTGCAGGGAAAGTTTGGTAACTACAGGTATGTAGTCTAGTACTACTAAGATACATTGTTGTACTGCAATGACATCCGTTTGTTATACTCTTGTTGGTGTAGCCGAAAAAATTATTATTATTATTATTTTTAATTCTAACATGTAAGTACAAGTACTTTGTGTGCTTACAGATACCGCCACTAGGTGGCCGACCACTCGGAGCAGCCCATGCTGCGTCACTCATTCACTTAACGTGTCCGTCGACTTCCGTACGCATCTCCCGTGAGTCTTCCGCATTGTGTTTGCGTTATCTACGTGATTTTTTCTCTATTTTGTGCGTTATTCTTCATAATAGTGATGAGTCCTAAGAGAGTGAGTGGTGAGGATGGTGGTGAGAAGAAGAAATGCATGATGATAAATGATGATAAATATGAGCGTGGCGCCCTCTAAAGGAAAGAACACAAATCGAAAAAAAGCAAAAAAATAAAAAATAGAAGGGTAAAAAAAAATAAATTCTGGAACGGATTACGGTCATATCTGGAGGCTCCACTGTCAATCTCTCCCACCGACCTGACCACAGGTGAAGTCCGTCAAATCCAAACGAGTAGAGGTCATCTCCGACCCCGTTGCCGCCCCAACCCTCTCCTCCTCCAGGGTAGGGGGCGTATCCTTTGGTGTTGGCCCAGCCCACTCTCAGGTGTGAAGGCTCGCTGGTGACGAAGTGGTCCACTTGGTCGATAATCAGCTCGTAGTACCACTTCTTATACTGAGCCGAGCCCTCGCTGACCCCCAGGAAGACGTTTGGCCGCATGCTGGCGGGTTGGCGAGGAAAATGATGTCATTACACGGAAAATACATTACATTTTTTAAAATAATAATTTGATTTATTTATTAAATTGTATTATAATTAAAGTATTATCATCTTTATTATAGCGTCATAACTGAAGTAGCCTTTGCACAAAAGGGGGGCGCTGCAGGGAAAGTTTGGTAACTACAGGTATGTAGTCTAGTACTACTAAGATACATTGTTGTACTGCAATGACATCCGTTTGTTATACTCTTGTTGGTGTAGCCGAAAAAATTATTATTATTATTATTTTTAATTCTAACATGTAAGTACAAGTACTTTGTGATCTGTAGTGAGAGTAGGCAGCAGCTAGAAGAGAACCTAGAGAGGTGAAGGTTTGCACTAGAAAGAAGAGGAATGAAGGTCAGCCGCAGCAAGACAGAGTACATGTGTGTAAACGAAAGGGAGAACAGTGAAATAGTGAGGCTACAAGGAGCAGAGGTGGTGAAGGTGCAGGAGTTTAGGTACTTAGGATCAACTGTTCAGAGCAG